ACTAAGAGAGAAATAACTAAGAGAGAAATAACTAAGAGAGAAATAACTAAGAGAGAAATAACTAAGAGAGAAATAACTAAGAGAGAAATAACTCTATTATAAACTAATTATTATCTTTATTTAATCTAGTAGTAGTAAGGGTAGTCCTTTTATTCCTATATTAGTAATATTATTATAACTTATAATATACTATATAGATATAACTCTATTAGTAAATAATTTGCGGACTATATAATAATATATAGCTATATATTTAGACTATACCGTGATTTATTAGTTTTAGATAAGGGCTATAGTAGCTTAATTATCCATAAGAAGATAGAGAACTAGAATATTATAACTTATAAAGATCTCTTTTATACCTAGTAGAGTCTACTATAAGTAACTTATAGCCTTTAAATAGGCTATATACTCTACTTTATAGGTTGACTTAGTAATATAAAATTACCTTTTACTATTCTAGGCTACTAAACTTCTATTTAATTAAAGTATATATCTAGAGATAGACTTTATAGTATTAAGGTCTAAACCCTAGAAGATATCTAAGAACATATTAATTTCTATAGTATCTTTTAACTTCTTTAGTATAAGGTATTAATTAATAGTATACTTAAGATAGTATAATAGACTAAAGGTAATCTATATATATTACGCCAACGGATTTATATTAAATATCGTATATATATCTACTATAAAAGTAAGATCTAGACGCGTACTAGTAATAAGGTAATTAAGTAACCTAATTAGCTATATATATATAAGCTACCGTTCTTAATTAATGATTTCTTCTAATTATATTAGAAAGATATTATTAGAACCTAGCCTTAGACACGACTATATCCGTATATACCTTAGCTAACTTAATTAGAAGGTAGCGTAATAGGTAGTAAATAGTTACGTACTAAATAGATCGGCGTCCCTTTATATATATACTCTTAGATTTCTACTAAAAGGGTTTAGTAGTAATTTATTCTATAACGGAATATACTCTATTATTCTATCTAACTATACTACTATCTAATAACCCTATTCTTATATTTAAATTACTCTCTATATAGTACTATAGTTAAGATAGTCTAACTAGAACTAAGAAGGTTAATATAATCTACTATAGGGATAAGTAATACTATATTAAATAATAGGGATTCTCTATAATTAGTATTAATTCTAGCCGTTCCTAATTAAGAAATAGAGATATTAGACTAAATCACGGAGCTTTTAGATAAAGAAATAGTAGATATACTAAGTAACTTCTAATAATATAAAGCTAGATAATAAGTCGTGGCAGAGCCACGTAAGGTATTATAATAAACTATTACTAAACTTTAGAAATACATTATAAATTAGGTCTAAGAGATCTAAACCCTTAAAGAATAGATAGAACGCGCGAAACTCCTTATAAAGAAATAAGAACTTAAGGAGTCTCTATAATAAATTACTAGCTAGAGCCATAGGGGGATACGTAGACTCTAGCACGAGTAGCGTAAGAAATAGCATAGCACGTAGAAGAGGTGCCTATAATATAATAGGTAGCCTTAGGTAGTAACCTAAGGCCGAGATAGACACCTATAGGGAGAGCTAATCATAGGTACTTAGAATAGGTATTCTAAGTAGTCTACTAGGTAATTAGAAATAGAATATTAGTATTCTAAGTAACGTACTAAATACTTAGAATAAGTATTCTAATTAGAGGACCTTAGTAGAACTATATAGACCCTTTAGACCCGATCTCTAGAAATAGTTCTATAGTAATTAATTTAAACTTATACCGATATAATTACTACTTCACTCGCCTACTAGCTAGTTACTATTTATACCCTATTAATACTTACTATAAACCTACTTATACTTCTCTAAGCCTTCTAAGTACCTTTATCTTTAGAAAAGCCGGGACACTCTATAGAACGGACTACTTTAGGGATAAGCCGCATCCTTATTAGAGAAGGTTTATTATAGTTTAATTACTTCTACTTAGACTCCGAAGTAAGTATTCACGCTATCTATTTAAATATAAAATGGTAAACGACGGATAGTCCTTATCTTCGTAAACCACCCCACGAGCACCGACTATAGAATAAGTTAGATATCTTATTATAGAATTAGAGGAGTAAGTCACGGAGCTCCGAAGGGAAAACGTTAAACTTAGAAAAGCTAAAGAGAACTTTAAAAGAAAAATCCCGGAACCTTTTAAAGGTAAGCGAAGCGAACTCTAAGGATTTCTAACGTAGATTAGAATATACCTCTAGGCCTATTAAATTCAGGACCTAGAAGAATAAGTTATATTTACCGCTAGACTACTAAAGGGAGACGCACTCGCTTAGTTCGAACTCTACTTAAGGGACTTTATAGAAAATAATCTATAGGATTAATAGAATGATACTACTAAGGTCTTTAAACGCTTCGAAGAATTCGAGAAACATATTAAGATAACTTTTAGAGATATAGATAAATAAAGAATAGCTAAGAGACGGATCTAGTAAATAGTCTAGATAAAATCCGCGTCTAACTACGTCTCTAAATTCTAATAAATCTCTAGTTAGCTAGGATAGAACGATGAACCCCTGATTCTTTAGTTCTATACTAGACTATATAACGACGTTAAGGACGAAATCTCTAGAGAGAGAGACCGTTCTACCGACCTTTAGGAGTATATTAAGCTAGTAGTCTAGATTAATAACTAACTATACGAGAGACGCTACGAGAAAAGAGGGAAAAAGATCTTTTAACCCGTACTTAAATAAGATATAAGAAAGGGCTATATTAATAGAGCCCTAAACTACTTATATAAGGGATTCTATAATAGACCCGTATCTATAGAGCTTAGCGCCTTATAGATAAAACGTCTATCTAATAAAGAAAGGGAGTAACTAAAGAAGGAAGGTAAGTATCTCTACTATAAAGAAAAGAGATACTACGCCCGCGAATACCCAAAAAATAAGAATAAGAAAAATTAGATTAAAGACCTAGTACTAAGACGAGGAAACTTCGCTATAGAAAAAGAAGAAGTACCTTATATAGCTATGTTATAGACTAGTTATACTAACGACCTCTATTTCGTGTATAAGTTAGAAAAAGATAGTATAGGTTAGTATCTAAAGAAAAGAAACGTTTTAATAGCTAGTAAATAACCCCTATTACTTCACGAAAAAACGGAACTATAGAAGTACTTAGAAGTAATAAGAAGATCTAAACTAACTAAAGAAACGGTATCTAAAGAAGTAATAATTAAAGGAAGTACTATTAAGGAAGATAGTAAGGAAGAAAACCTTACTATAGAAGAACTATATAATAAGTTAATAATAAACCAAGACCCTATCACCTACTATATTATCTATTATTATAGAAAATATATAAGTAAGGATAATAGAGACCCACCTTTAAGAGATATAGAAACCTAACTAGAAGATAACTAACTTATTTTACCCTACCATAAGGAACACGGTAAGACTTCCTAGGTCACCTATCTCTATAATAACTATCTTTATTATCTTTACAAGAAGCGAATCTAGAAATAGTTCCTACGACGGTATTAAAATTAAGCGATTCTAAAAGCCTTTAAGGATAAAGATATATAATAGTATAAAATAATTACTAAGGAAGCCGATAAAAACTACTTTATATTAAAATGGGTAGAAAATAAGATTTACCTAGAGAACCGATATACCTAATACCTAGACGTTACGTGCCAAACCTATCTAATATCTAAGGCTATTATATAGTATAACCTTTAAGTAGACTTAGACGAAATTAAGAAATAAGTTTAATCTATAATCTAACTTATATAAGAAACGGAACGGGAACTTAGTAAGCTATAAAAAAACTAGGAAGGCCGGACGTACTAAGAGAAATAACTAAGCTAAAAAGAAAATCTCTCGTATCTATTAGTAACTTAGATAATAAAACACGAATATCTCTTAAAATTTAGCTCTATTAAAAACACTCTATTAAGGTACTAATTAATAGCGGAGTATAGTCTAATTTTATCTCTCTAACTATAGTAGATAAACTAAAAATACCCTATAATAGTAAAGAAGAACTATATAAATTATCTATATTTAAAGAACTCGATATAGAATACGCTAACGGGATAGTATACTTAGAAATAGAACCTCTAGATTTAGTCTTAATAGTAGGATACTAATAATTATGACTAGATATAGCGGAGCTAGAATAATATAACTTAATTCTAGGAATACTATGGCTCGAAGAAGTTAACCCCACGATTAACTAGAAAACCAAGGAAATTATACCCTAGGGAACGTTAAGACCCTTAGAAACTATTAAAGAAGAAGTAGAGATTAATAAACCCGTAAAGGCGCTAATAACCGGGAAGTCTATCTATTATATTCGGAAGCTTAACGATAAGTAAGGTAATATAAAGAGCGGACCCTTATATAAGAAACACGTAGTATAATAAGGCACGCCCACGGATAAATAGATTTAAAAAATAAACGACGCACTCGTACCGAAGGAATACTACTAATATTATATTATCTTTAAAGAAGAACTTAAGACGGGACTACTAAAGCGTAGCCTATATAATTATATAATAATACTCTAACTAGGAATAGCACCCACGTTTAAAAGCATATACTAACTTACTAAAAAATAACTAGAAATAACGCGATAATATATCGAGAAAATAGAAGTAAAAGAATATATCC